GCTGGAGCGTTAGCACAGCGGGTAGGGCGTTTGCTTTGCACGCGGCCGACCCGGGTTTGATTCCCAGCTTCCCATATGGTCCCCTGAGAACCGCCAGGAGTAATTCCGGAGTATGTGAGGCCAGGAGTAACCACTGAGCATCGCCGGGTGTGACCCAAACACCACACACACACAAAAAAAAGGTTGGGGATGTTGCTCAGAGGCAGGTGCTTCCCTTGCATGCGTGGGGCCCTGGGTTCGAGTCCTAAGAGAACAAAAGCAACAAAACAGGCCCAAAACACCAAAAAAACTTTTTAAATCCTGGGGTGGCACAGACCCAAATTAGCCCGCATTCTGTAATCAGCCAAGCCAGCCTTAAATTAATGTGAGGCGATTTATATTTATCTCAGTGCATGTGAATATTCATATTTCTTTAGAGAATTATCGTGCTTTATTAAAGAGTTCTGGGAGGATTACATAATATACAGTATGCGCACCATATTGCATTATTATCTCAAACTTGAAAAATGCTGAATTTAGAAACATTGCTGGTCCCAATGATTTCTGCTGTGAAAAACAAATTATTTTTTACTTAGGGGCTAGAGGGGAAAGTACAGCAGGCAGGACGCTTGCCTTGCATGTGGCTGACCTCGATTTGTTCCCTGGTGCCCCATATGGTCCCTGGAGCATCACCAGGAAGGATCCTTGAACACAGACTCAGGAGGAACCCTGAGCACTGCAGAGTGTGCGACCCTCCAAAATAACAACAGCAGCAATATTCTCTCGGGAGGCTGGGGAACAGCTCAGAAAGTTGCAGTGCTAGGACCCAACTCTGATCTCTGGCACTGCCTGGTCTCCCGAGTTCTGCTGGGGTGCCTGGTGGGACCCAGCCCCAACTTGGGCTGAGCAGCGCCTCCTTGGGAGGGCCGTGCATGGCCGGGAGCGGTCCCCAAGCCCTGGGGCTGTGACTCGAGGTAGAACACCTGCTTGGCAGGGTGGAGCTGTGTGAGTGCTTCTGCACTATGGTCCTTGGCTTTGCCTGTGGGTTCTTGGTGCTAAAACTGAGGGTGGTAGGCAGGCCACCCCTTCCGACCCCAACTTCCCTGCCCCCCCCAGTACCAGTAACAACAACAAAGACGAAGAAGGTAGGGGGAAATAATGTACTCAGGGCTTGAGAGATAGCACAGTGAATGAGGAACTTGGTTTGCATGTGCCAGATCTGGGTTAGATGTTCAGCATCCCATTAGATTCCCCGAGCACTGCCAGGAGTCATTCCTGAGTGCAGAACCAGGAGCAACCCCAGAGCATCACCGGGTGTGGTCCCCAAAAGAAACTAAAACAAACAGTACTCAGCAGCAAGTAAGACATTTTCTGCCATGAATCAAGGTTTGCATTTGAGGATATTCCTGAGTGTTCCTTAGCAAGACTCAGTTAAGTGACTCCAAGGGGTGTGTGTGTGTGTGTGTGTGTGTGTGTGTGTGTGTGTGAGATACAGAGCTTATTAAGGCAGGATGGTTCCTACAGGTAGGAGAGTATACCCACGCACACCTTCTCTTAATTCTTCCGGTCTGGTTCTTCCCAGTTCAGCAGTCACAAAACAGAATCCTTTAGCAAGGAATTTCGGGGGGCGGGGGGGGGGAATTAAAAACAAACAAACCAGAAAACCCAAGAAAGATGGGACCTGAAAAGAATTTGTCATGTGCAAACGCCCCAGACCAGATGCAAATAGCTTGCACACAATTCAGCAGAAATTGACTAGATCGCCCCTAAATGCAAATTCCTAGAGCTCAAAATCCCCTCTCCTAAAACGTAACCAACAGTGGAAGAGTTCTTTCTAAGACTGACTATCCCAGAGTCCAGAATCTCAGGGACAACCACCTGGGAGCCTCGGGACACCCCTGGGCTCCCGGGATTACCGAGGTGGATCAAGAATGCGAAAGACTGGGGGAGGGGCGGGAGGGCGAGGCTTTGTGAGGCCCGTGTCACCCCCAGTTCGGAGACCTTCAGATGCAAGCTCAGGCCGCTTGCAAGTTTGAGACAGGGACGAATGGCAAGAGAGGGGGTTGGAGGTTTTCGTGTCCCAAACCAGGCCGCGTTAATGGAAAACTGATGCGTCAATGGTCACTAAGTCGGCGGCCAGGAGGCAATCGGGGTCTCACTCCTTTCTCTGCGACGCAGAGGAGGTGGGAAGGATGCAGCCCCGGCATCTCCCCCTGCTTGCAACGGAGCAGTGCAAGTGAGGGGGTGGAAACGGGATGCCCCGTGCGACGTGGGAAAGCGCTTCGGAACGGCAATAACCACCGCAGGGTTATTAAATCCCAGCCGCGACTGTGTCTCGGGTGACAAGAAAACGTTCAGGGGGGGGCTTCTTGGAAACTGGCGACCGCCCGGCGCGCCCGGCTCCTGGGCGACTTAACAGCCTACGCGAGCCCGGGACCTGGCACTAAGTCTGTACCCAACCGCCCGCCGTAGACCCGCTAATGCCCGCCCCGGAAACGGATGCGCCGTGACGCAGCATCCGGGAACGAGGAGAAGGAGCATGCGTAGAAACAGCGCTCTGCGTCTGGCCCCGCCCCGCCGCCCGCCGCGGGCGCGCGCGCGCACGCCGGAAGGGGCGGGGCCACAGGGAGCGTATATATAGCGGCGCTCGAGCACCGGCCGGTCTCTGCTGGCGGCGTCATCCGGAGTCATGGTACGCGCTTTCGTGGCGGGCTCTCCGGGTTCGTAGCGGGCGGCGTGCTTCAATCCGCGGCGCATCGGCGCCATCCGGACCCGGCCGTGGCCAGCGGCAGCTTCTAGGGACACGGGCACCTCGGAGGGGGCTGCTGGCCGGGGAATTTGCTGGAAACGCCCGATGCTTGCTACGGGGACCGGCCTTAGGCCTGGGCGCTTAGGCCCAGAGGAGGGACGCGCGCCCCAGAGCAGGGCCTGGCCTCGCTGACCTCGGGCGGCGGCCTTGGGTTACCTCGGGACCCCAAATGATGAGCCTCACGACGGGCGGACAGAGCCTCTGTGCTGATTGTCGCTTTCTGATCGGGTCCCGGGGGTCGCTGCAGCGGGGGGGGCGCGGTGGGCACCTGCCCCGCGAGGAGGCGCTGTCAAACGGGGCTGCCCGCGTGCACGTGGCTTAGCAGCTCACCCCGTCCGCCACGCAACGCTTCCGTGCCCAACACTCGATTGGGGTTCGTGTAAATCAGTTCTGAGCCCCCCCCCCCCCAAGAGTGATGAGCACATAGCGGGGCAGAGGTCTTGCATGGGTTCGATTCCCAGCACCCCACCTTATGGCTATGTTCCCAGGAGTGGCGCTGTAAGACGAGAGCGGACTTTGGAAGCTCAAAGTTCCCGGGTGGGAGGGACGCACCCCAAATGGGGGGCTCCCCGGGAGGGGGTCGCGGGGGTGCCCACTCAATGCCCATCTATCTCTCTGCAGTCGCACCGGAAGTTCTCGGCGCCCCGCCACGGCTCCCTGGGGTTCCTGCCTCGGAAGCGCAGCAGCCGGCACCGGGGCAAGGTGAAGAGCTTCCCCAAGGATGACGCCGCCAAGCCCGTGCACCTCACGGCCTTCCTGGGCTACAAGGCGGGCATGACCCACATCGTGCGGGAGGTGGACCGGCCGGGGTCCAGTAAGTGCACGGCTGGGGGGCGGGGGTGCTGACCGGGACCTGGAAGGCTGATCTCGCTGCACCCAGGGCAGGGCGGGCCACGGGGTGGCCAGACGCGGGCTCGCCTCTCCGGTTGGCGCCCACTGAAGCCCCCTTGCTTGCTTGGCAGAGGTGAACAAGAAGGAGGTGGTGGAGGCTGTGACGATCGTGGAGACCCCACCCATGGTGGTGGTGGGCATCGTGGGCTACGTGGAGACCCCGCGCGGCCTGCGGACGTTCAAGACCATCTTCGCGGAGCACATTAGTGACGAGTGCAAAAGGCGCTTCTACAAGAACTGGTGAGGGGCGGGAGAAGTCGAGGTCCTGGGGCGCAGCTGCGGTGGTTCTGGGGCTGCTCCGTGGGTCCCCCGTGGGATGGCGGGGGTGGGTGGGGCAGTGGTCCCAGGTGCAGGTAACTGGGAGATGAGTTGGGTGGGGGCCCGGGAGGGGGTCGGCGCTGGCAGCCGAGCGTGGACTGGGCGCCTGCCGAAATGTGGACTCGCATTAATCCTCTGCACCTCGTCAGCTCCGCTCGGCTCTGTCCGATGAGCTCCTTCCGGGCTCCGCTTGCCGGTGGAAAAGGCTCCTTGGAAGCCGGCAATGAGCCCCGGCCCCCCTGGGGTGCCCACGTGCCCCCTGCTCCCTCCCTGGAGCCGAGGCGAGGCCCTGCACCCGGCCCCCGCCCAACTCTGCTCTGCCCCTGAAGGCATAAGTCCAAGAAGAAGGCCTTCACCAAGTACTGCAAGAAGTGGCAGGACGAGGACGGCAAGCGGCAGCTGGAGAAGGACTTCGCCAGCATGAAGAAGTACTGCCAGGTCATCCGGGTCATCGCCCACACGCAGGTGGGTCGGCTGGCTGGCCACTGGGGAGGCGCTTCTGCTGGGGCTTGGTCCTGTGCGGCCAGCAGGGGGCAGTGTGGTCCCGATGTGGGTCGGGAGTGAGCGGAGGCACAGAGGACCCGGCCCGCTTCTGCCACTGGCCCAGCTGCCCACGGCTTGGAGGATGCTTGGGGGCGTGTTGGGGTCGTTCTCCCTGCCCCGACTCCATGGAGCCTGTGTTTATGCTTCCTGTCTGTGGAGGGCTGAAAGGCATTTGCCGCCGGGGGATCGGGGAAGGGGCTCCCGGCCTGACCTGATCCGCCGCTGCCCGCAGATGCGCCTGCTGCCCCTGCGCCAGAAGAAGGCGCACCTCATGGAGATCCAGGTGAACGGCGGCACGGTGGCCGAGAAGCTGGACTGGGCGCGCGAGCGGCTGGAGCAGCAGGTCCCCGTCAACCAGGTGTTCGGGCAGGACGAGATGATCGACGTCATCGGCGTGACCAAGGGCAAAGGCTACAAAGGTGCGCGGGGGGCCGGGAGGCCAGCGGGGGGCGCTAGCCGGGCTGTTCGGTGATGAGACACGGAATGAGCGCTGGGCACAGCGCCCGACTCACAGTGCGGAAGCATTCCAGCTGCCTTCCTTCTGAGAACGGCCGTGCCGCGCTAGGGGTGGGGGTCCACGCGGCCGGCCGGCTCAGCGGGGTCTGTCTGTCCGTCCCAGGGGTCACCAGCCGTTGGCACACCAAGAAGCTGCCCCGCAAGACCCACCGTGGGCTGCGGAAGGTGGCCTGCATCGGGGCCTGGCATCCCGCCCGCGTGGCCTTCTCCGTGGCCAGGGCTGGGCAGAAGGGCTACCACCACCGCACCGAGATCAACAAGAAGGTGAGCCCCCCGGGGGGTTGTCCTGCCCCAGTCTCAGCCCGGGCCTCTGGGGGTCGGTAAGGGACCCTCCCCTCACGAGCACACCATCCCAGGACGCGGCACGCTCCCTTTACAGATTTACAAGATCGGCCAGGGCTACCTCATCAAGGACGGCAAGCTCATCAAGAACAACGCCTCCACTGACTATGATCTCTCGGACAAGAGCATCAACCCGCTGGTGAGGCCTGGCCCGGGGCTGGCGGGGCAGCTGCGTCCCGCGGGGCCCGCCTCTCCTCACACGGCTTGGTTCTTTCCAGGGCGGCTTTGTCCACTACGGCGAAGTGACCAATGACTTTGTCATGCTGAAGGGCTGCGTGGTGGGGACCAAGAAGCGTGTGCTCACGCTGCGGAAGGTGAGGGGGCGCCCGTGCACCGTCCCTGGTGGGGGGACCCAGACACAGACGGGCATTGTCTGGGCCTTGTCTTGTCTGGGCAGGACTTCAAAGGACGTCCCCTGCCGTGAGCCCTGGCTTTGAAGGCCTGGGAGAAGGAAACTGTCTGGCCCAGGTGGGGGAGGGGGGGCAGGACGCCCCTGCAGACCCACTGACCCCCCCTCCCCCCTGCGTAGTCCCTGCTGGTGCAGACCAAGCGTCGTGCCCTGGAGAAGATCGACCTCAAGTTCATTGACACCACGTCCAAGTTCGGCCACGGCCGCTTCCAGACAGTGGAGGAGAAGAAAGCGTTTATGGTGAGATGCTGGCCTGCGCCCAGCCCCCCAGCTCGGTGAGGGGTCTCTGCCTGCCCCCGCTGACCCTGCCCCTCCCTCTTCCCACAGGGACCGCTCAAGAAGGACCGCATTGCCAAGGAGGAGGGCGCCTGATGGGCCAGGCGCACCCAATAAAAGTTTTTGCAGTGACCCTGGCTGGTGTCTGGCTGTCAGCAGACTGGGGTGGGCCGGTTGCAGCTGTGGCTCCCCACGTGGCTGTTTGCACAGCTTGGGTGGCCCAGGAGGCGGCGGCACAGGATGTTCTGGGCCCTTGGGGGCGCGTGGGCACGGCGGGGTGGGGCCGAGTACAGGTGAGGGATTGACTCACCCACACACTGTGCGCCCTTCCAGTTACGGCCTGCTGTGGGGTCTGGGTCCCAGTGTTGGGGTGGGAGGGGGCTGCGTGGCACCTGGGTCCTGGGGAGCAGCTGGTGACAGGCTGGGGCCAGATTCCCCAGCGCTGCCCTGGGACTGCTCTGCTCCTTGTCCAGACTGCTTCTGGGCTGGCAAGGCTCAGGCAGGGGCTTCTGTCATCCATAGGGGTACCATGCAGTGGGACAGGGTGTGTGGGAGTGACATCTGCAGTGCCAGCCATTGACTGTCTCAGGCACCTGCCCACTGGCCTCTGCAGCCTGAATGGGGCTGTGCAGGGTGGCAAGGTGGGCAGTGCCTGCAGGCTGCCTCCTTCCTCCCTGTGCGTTCTTGGAAGCCTGTGCCCAGCCGCCCTGGGTTCCCTCGAAGGCTGTGGAGGTGCCTGGCACTCTCACTGTTAAGAGTCTCCTGGCTCTGGGCCTGTGTGTCACCCCCGGGCCCTGCGCGCCGCCACCACAAACCACCTGGCTGCAGCCCCATGCGGCCGAGCCTCATTCCATTCCGCCCGGAAAAAGGGACCCACGGGAATGTAAGCAAGTGGGGACAGAGGTGAAGGCACCAGCCTTAAAAGGACACAGTGGCTGGCTCACCTGGGGGTGGGGTGGGGCGGGCCAGGACTCATCCCCCAAGTTCTCCCAGTCTCTGTTCCCCATGGAGCACCAAGTGGGTCGGCAGACGTGCTCCAGTGCCCAAAACAGTCCAAGGGAGGGAGGTGGCCCCAGAGCCTAGTGGGGTGACCAGGACCTGCAGGGGGCAGTATGGGCCCCAGCTGGGGACCGGCCAGCCAGGCTATGTTTAAACCCTGCCAGTGCCCAGCAGCCCTGATGTCCAGCCCCACCTCACTGTCCTGGGCCAACTGGCTACACCCCTGCAGCTGGTCTGTAATCGGGTGTCATGTGACCTGAGTGACCACCACCCTGCATGCTGAGATGCTCAGATACTCACCCCCATGCTCTCCCTCTCCCCAGAACCCCCGCAGAGTCCGCATCCAGTTGGAGCAGAAGGGGGGACCCACTCACCCCTCCAGCAATTACCAGGCAGGACCCACCTCGCCCACACGGTGCCCTCCCAAGAGACAGGGCCACTGGGCCTCAGCACCCCGGGGCCCAAGACACTGCCCCATGCCAGGGGCTGCCGGTGCCTCCCCACGGTGGCTGTGTTCCTGTGTTACTTAGCCAGCTTTGGAAAGTGACGCTGTGACAAGTCACAAGCCACATCAGTGATGCTCCACTTGGGCTGAGCATGGAAATGACTTTGGGAGCTTGAGAAGGATTACTGGGGTCCTGGGAAGTGGTTCAAAGGTGGGGGCGTCCCTTGCACACAGGAGGCTTGGGCTGTGTTCCCTCATTCCCCATGATAAAAGACCCCATGGCGGCATCACCATCGCTGACGTGGGGCTTTCCAGGCGCGAAGCACAGGCAGTCTTGACCCTGGCATGTTTCGGCCAGTCCCCACGGCTGCCCGCCTGGAGGCTGCCAAGAGCTGGGATGCAGTGCAGAGAACCAAACCCAAGCGGAGCTCAGCCCACGCCCCTGCCAGGCCTGCTGCCATGCTGTGGTTGGCCGCGGTGTGGTCCTTCCCCGGGCCGCCTGGAGTGCCAGGAAGCGTCCCCAGAGGTTGGGCTGGGACCACCCCAGCCAGAGGAGGCCGGCGGCCCGGGTGTCCTTGAGCTGCAGAAGAAACCTGAATGGGCACATCAGAGCTGGGCATTGGCCGCGGGCACGCGAGGTGGCGGATGTGGCAAGAGGCGGGGGTGGCCGCTGACATGACCGTGGGCAGCAGGGGCCGTGGGAAAACCTTGACCAAAAAGCCACGGAACTTCCGGGGCTGCCGGGGCGCAGAGGAGAGAGTGGCCCTGGGGGTGTTTTCTTGCCATCCTGAAGCTGCTTTGGCTTTGGCTTTTATTTTGTGCTGTGCTCGGGACTGTCCCAGGCTCCGCCATCCGCCATCCTGCCAGCTTCAGGGGACATGTGCTGGGAAGGACCCAGGTGAGCCGTGAGCAAGGCCACCCCTGACCCCCAGTGCTATACTTTGGACCCAAGCTTTTTCTTTTCCTTTTTTTTTTTTTTTTTTTTTGCTTTCTGGGTCACACCCAGCAATGCTCAGCCTCTGCACTCAGGAATCACTCCTGGCGGTGCTTGCGGGACCATACGGGAAGCCGGGAGTCGAACCCAGGTGAAGAAAGTGTCCTCCCCGCCGTACTACTGCTCTGGCCCCCTTTTTTTTATGGGGGGCAGTAGGGATAAAACCCTCCTGTTCCACTGCTGAGCTGCATCCTGGCTCCTGTTGGATTTCCCTGTGCTCAGGGGTCACTCCTGGGGGCGCTCGGGACCATTCGGGGCACCGAGGGTCAAACCCAGGACTTCTGCATGCAAGGCAAGCACCTGCCCTCCCAAAAGTACTTTCGCTGTCCCAAGTTGTGTATTCTTTTTTTTTTTATTTGTGTGTGTGTGGGGGTGCAAACTGACAATACTCAGGAGAGAGTCTTGACTCTATGCTCAGGACTCTCCTGGCCGACTTGGGGGCTATATGGGATGTTGGGAATCGAACCCGGGTCAGCTGTATGCAAGGTGAGTGCCCTGCCCCTGGTACCGTGGAGCCAGTCCCAAGATCCCTTTCTGACTTCGCAGCGTTGTTTGCTAAAAGTCACTTTGAGGGGGCTGGAGTGATAGCACAGTAGGTAGGATGTTTGCCTTACATGCGGCCTGACCCGGGTTCGATTCCCAGCATCTCATATGGTCCCCCGAGCATAAAAATAATTCCTGAGTGCATCTCTGGGTGTAACCCAAAAAGCAAATAAATAAAAAATAAAAGTCACCTTGATTTCCTGTATTTGTTCTCAGTTGAGGATGGGGTGCTCTTATAGAGAATTCAGATCCGATTCTTGGGAAAGGGGACAGCAGGCCGCCCTGGGGTCCACCTGCCTGACTTCTGTGGGCTGTGGCCCTTGGGGACAGAGGGCAGCTGGGCCCTGAGGTCTGGCCCTGGGTAGCACAGCCTGTGGCAGAGGACCTGACCAATCACGGGGCTAGGACAAGAGTCACTCACAGGGAAGATGGCTCACTCCACCTGGTCACTCCACTGCCCTCGGGTGGAAGCCAGATTCACTGACCAGCACAAGGTTGGGGCCTCAGGGCTGGAGCCATGGCACAGCGGGGAGGGCATTTGCCTTGCATGTGGCCGACCTGGGTTCAATCTCCAGCATCCCATAGGGTCCCCTGAGCACCGCCAGGAGTGATTTCCTGAGTGCAGAGCCAGGAGTAACCCCTGAGCATCGCTGGGTGTGACCCAAAAAAGCAAAAAAAAAAAAAAAAAAAAAAGCAAAATAACAAGAAACAAAAAAAAAACACAGGTTGGGGCCTCCTGCTGCCTCTGCTTCAGTCGCCGTTCCCCAGATTCCCCCCAGATTTCTCCAGATTTCCCGAGAAGTCGCTGGGGAGGATGTGGTCGGGAGCGCGTGAGAGAAAGGGGGCCCAGGGCAGTGCACCCCGACTTCCTCAAAGCAAATTTAGACAAAGCAGAAGTGAAAAACGCTTCCTGCAGCCAAGGGGTGGGCGTGGGGCGGGGGCGGGGGGTCTGTTTTGTCTGTTGAGGAGTTGTTTGTACTGGGATCACACCAGGCGTGCTCAGGGCTTATGCTGGCTCTGCACTCGAA